AAATAAGAAAAATTTGTTGCATGTTTTGATCATGCTAATGTCGGAGGACGGAGAAGAACAAAGGGACTTTGTAGTTTATGGATTCTCAGTTTATATGATTTTTGCCTGGTTTTGTATTGATATGAAAATTTTGATTATTCCTAAAAAAGGCTAAACAAAATTGCTTTTATTTATATATTGACTAGGAATGTAAAATAACACTCAATAATTCAAACAGTTCAAGATTTACGCCTAACTAACAAACATAATACGTGAGTGAAATAAATATTTTAGTGGATAAAAGAATTTATCCAAAGCATATGCAATAAATTATACTGAATAAGTTTAAATATGATAAGTAATAACTTAATGGATCATTAAAATATAATCCCAAAGTATAAACTTTGTACTTATGCTAAATAATTTATTACATCAAAGCCACACTCTTAACTAAAATAAAAAAAACTTCCTACTGCATAAATTTTGTTTGATGAACATTAAATTTTAGTTCTCTATATATAATACACAAACATTATCATAATACTTATATATGTGTATATATATATATATAACAATCTTTAAAGAAAATGTAAAACTAAAATATTAAAATTATATAAAAGGAGATAAAATTATAAAGTAACATAAAATGACAAAGCCCTTTTTCAAAAAAAAACATAAAATGACAAATGACCAATAATAAACAACAAAAAATATAGATAGGAAGAATTAAAAAAATATAATTATTTTCATATTTTAAGTCCGGTTATTGGGTAGCTCGAAATATACTAATGAAGAAGGAAGAGAATCTGGTAGATGAACCTAGTGTCAAAGGGCTCCAAGCACAGGTCTGGAAGGTTAAAACACCCCCGGAGATGTGCCATCTTATGTGGCAGATTATATCGGGCAGGTGGCTGTTACGAGTGCGCTGAATCATCGACACATGAGATGCGATAATTTCTGCCCACGATGCGGAGAACCGGATGAAACAATTGCACATGTAATTTTCCAATGCCCACCGGCTTTACAAGTATGGGCCTTAGCATCCATACCAACCAGTTCAACTTTGTTCCCATTGGAGAGCACATATGCGAACATGGATTATCTATTCTGGCGGAAGAGGATCATTTGTGGGCCAGAGTTAGACAGGGATCCTTATCCTTGGTTAATTTGGTACATCTGGAAAGTTCGGAATGATAAATTGTTCAGAGGAATAGATAGAGATCCACTGGAGTTGGCTCGGTATGCAGAGAGTGAGTGTATTGCCTGGTTCCAAGCTAATGAGCAGGAAGTTGTGACCACACAAGAGGACGGTGATAATGAAAGTCAGGCCATAAGCCTACGTGATATTTGTATGATAGATGGCTCATGGACCTCTATAGATCAATTCTCCGGATGTGGTTGGGATTGGAAGGACAGCACGGGGGATAGTCAGTTGATGGGGATGCGTAACGTGAGTAGAGTAGAGTCGGCTTTGCATTCTGAGCTGGAAGCACTGCGGTGGGCAATGGAGAACATGCTTCAACATTCGCCATGTCAGAGCTTTGGGACGGACTGCAAGGAACTGGTAGCAATGCTCACGAATCCTCATGGATGGCCAAGTTTTTCGACGGAACTGGAGAGGATCTCGACGTTGAGGATTTGTTTCCCAGACTTCAAGATTACTTATGTCCCTAGATCTCTAAATGCTGTATCCGATCATTTAGCTAAGACTGCCCGATCCTTTTATCGGGAACTCATGTATGTTGGTTGTTCTATTCCGGTCTGGATTCCCAGACCACCTCAAGCTTGAGTAATAGATCAGCCATTCGTTGTCAAAAAAAAAAAAACAAAAAAACAAAACAAAAAAAAAGTTATTTTGTCAATATAGAAGTTACTTAAATAAATAAAAAATATCATTAACAAAAAAAATAAAACCTTGCTCAGTATAGAATTTTGGTAACATAGATTTCTCATTGTCTCTACTACCATGGCTATTTCGTCTTCTTAAAACAAAACTGTTGGAAATAGTTTTTTGAAGACCCGGAATTTGGTCTGTAATTCAAGAGTTTCAAAAATAACAAAAAAAATTGTATATATGATAAGCAACTTAAAATTACTATAGAAAAGAACAAACCAGTCAACCATGAAATTACAATAAACTTTAATGTAAATATTAATATCAGAGCAATTTTGTTTTATCTTTTTATATATGGGAAACAAACTTATAAAAAAATTTGAATTTTTGGAACATTTTATTAATGATGATAATATTTGTGTAATTACTTATTCTTTTCAATATAATATATTTTAAAACACGGTAATTAACATGCAAAAATCCACATTTTTTAAAATAATAATGAGATCGAGTTAATCCACACAAACTTGGTTACAAAAACAGAAAAAGAATGGACTTAATCAGATGAAGAATAAGAGATTGCAAAAAAGGTTGTTTTTTTACTGCCACATTGGTCAAGATATAGTTTAGTTTCACTGAAACTAAACCTATTAATAATTCTTGCAAACACAACTTTAAATTTCTAAACATCGTTTAGATCTTTCTAATGAATCAAACTTTCTATTCAAGACTACTAAGAATCATACCTATATTAGGAAAAGAAAGTTCACAATTTTTTTTAAGAATGGCATCAATATAACCATCCTATTTATATTAATCTGAAAAGGTACATTGATAAATTATCAAGAGGTGTGTTTTGTTTTAAAATGAATATTTTCAAGAGTTACAAGGGGAAAAATGATTAACTAAATACATTTTCAGACTATTACATAATAAAACCAGAACAATAAAAAGAAAAAAGAAAAATGCTTGAAAGGTTGTATATTTTAAAAAAAATGAAATATATTACTGTAAAAGTTGCATCTTTTTATAAATAAATTTGTGTCTTTTCATAAAAAAATTATCTATGACTATTGGATTAATTTTTTTTTCCTATTAAAATATGCTGATGTTTTAGGAGGTTTGCTAAAAAAAAACAATAGTTTAAAAGTTGTATCTTTTCTTAATAACTGAAATAAATTGTTGAAAGGTTGTATCTTTTCCTTAAAAACTGAAATATATTAGGTTGAAATTTCCATCTTTTCATTGCAAAAACAATTGTGACTTTTCATAAAAAAAATAAAGTACTATTTGAGAAGTTGTATCTTTTCATTAAAATAACATTTGGTGTTCCAGAAAAATAGTTTAAAAGTATTTAAAATAGTTTGCATAAATAATTTATTAGGACCATTAGATGGAAAACAAAACAATGATTGAAATGTTGTATCTTTTCAAAAAATAACTGAAATATATTAGTTTAAAAATTGAATCTTTTTATTATAATAGAATGGTATCTTTTCATAAAATATTATCTATTATTTTAAAAGTTGCATCTTTTCATTATATATAAAATTGTGTCTTTTCATAAAAAATTATCTAGGACCATTGGATAATTTTTTTTCCTACTAAATATGATGATGTTTTAGGAGGTTTGCAAAACAAAACAATAGTTGAAAGGTTGTGTTTTTTCATAATAACCGAAATAAATTGTTGAAATGTTGTATCTTTTCTTAAAAAAATGAAATATATTAGGTTTAACTTCCACCTTTTCATTGCAAAAATAATTGTGTCTTTTCATAAAAAAAATAAAGTACTATTTGACAAGTTTCATCTTTTCATTAAAAAAACATTTGGTGCTCCAGAAAAAAATAGTATTTGCATATTTTCATTATAAATAAATACAATGGTGTATTTTCATCAAAAAGTTATCAATTATTTTAGAAGTGGTATCTTTTCATTATGAAAAATTGGTGTTTCAAAAAAAATGTTTAAAAAAAATTAAAAGAGGTTATAAGAGTTGTGTCTTCTTAAAATAAAAATTGCTGAAACGTTGTATCTTTTTAAAAAAACTGAAATATATTAGTTTGAAATTTCCATATTTTCTTTTTATAAATAAAATTGTGTCTTTTCATAAAAAAATATCTATGACCATTGGATTAAATTATATTTTCCTATTAAAATATGATGATGTTTTAGGAGGTTTGCTAAACAAAACAATAGTTGAAAGGTTGTATCTTTTCATAATAACTGAAATAAATTGTTGAAAGGTTGTATCTTTTCTTAAAAACTGATTATATTAGTTTGAAATTTCCATCTTTTCATTGCAAAAACAACTGTGTCTTTTCATAAAACAATTAACTATTATTTGAGAAGCTGCATCTTTTCTATTAAAAAAACATTTGGTGTTCCAGAAAAATAGTTATTAAGTATTTAAAATATATTGCATTAATAATTTATTAGGACCATTAGATGGAAAACAAAACAATGCTTGAAATGTTGTATCTTTTCATAATAACTGAAATATTTTAGTTTAAAAGTTGCATCTTTTTATTATAAATAACTACAATGATTTATTTTCATATAATTTATCTATTATTTTTAAAATAGTATTTTTTATCATGAAAATGGGTGTTTCAAAAAAAAATTTAAAAATATTTAAAAGAGATTATAAGACTTGTGTCTTCTCATAATAAAAATTGTTGAAAGGTTGTATCTTTAAACTTATGAAAAGGTATGGCAAATATGATTGTGGCACTTAAAATGAAATATATGTCTTTTGAAAGAAGAGTTGCAAAATATTTGATGACATCATCAATCATATGAAGATGTTTTTTTTTGTCCATTAGATTTTAAAATTAAGTTAATTATGACCATTGGATTAATTTTTTTTTCCTATAAAAAAATGTTGATGTCACTTTTGGTTTGCTATTATATATAGATTCTCCAGTTACCAAAAGTGCAAGACCATGGACAGTGATGATGCCAAAGGATAGATTTGTAAACTTAACAATGAAAGCTCCAACCTTTCTTCAAATCCACGGAAGCTCTTCAGAAGTCTCTGTACACCAAAAAGCCTTAACTGAGATTGATATAGAGTCCCCATAGATAACTCCATTATTCACCCATCCATGTCTTGCATCACCCTGCAAAGCCTAAACCTCCATCCACAAAGACGACAATGGTGGATCATCAGATCATATGGTTTCTTCTAGTGAATCACCATTATTCTCATGTAACAGCTCAAGACATTCATACATCTATGATAGGTATTAGCATAGAAATAGTCTTCTTCGTTAGGTTTATTAGGAATCACAAGTCGCTTCTTGGGACCCCCCCCCCCCATTCTTGTAGCGTGAAAGGCCTTCACCGTGGTTGAAAACACTTCCCAGCTCAACAATCCTTGGTAGTATTCATCTATTAGATTAACCAAGAACTTCCTGTTTAGCTCAATTAAAAAAAAATTCTAGTTAGAAAAAAAGAGACTAATCTCAATGAGAAAAGAAACCTGGTATTTGGTAGTAGGACATGTATACGGAGCAGTCTTGTTTCGCGTCTCAAGCTGAAAAAAATGTTTCTATTGACTGTTTGTGCGTCGAGATTCTTCACCATCCTCTCCTTGCTCTTGACCACCAGAACCTACAAAATAAAGAGTAGTAATGCTGAGAAACCTTTAAAGACAATCTTTTTAATAAACCAATTTGAGAGGTAAAAGAAACACTGTGATTAAAAAGTCAGCTACAACATAACAAAACCGACTGAAAATCCAGAAAAGTTCATAGACCCAGGTTCGATGTACTTATCTAAAGATTTGCATCCATCTCCTTCACACTGCTTGGAAAAGACGTACTAAAAACCAAGAATGTATGAACAATCAATGATATAATTTAAAGGCAAGGAGCTACTTCTAAATGTCAACACGATCCAATAGAATATCTTCTGGAGCTTACACTAGCGTTAACAAACATAAAAATGCCAATGACCCTGAACCACCTTCACCCTTTTTTTCACCACCAAAGATTTCGTGGAAAATCCACCTAAGATAAAGTGTATAGAAAATAGGGAACATTGTCATTTAAATCACAAACTTTCAAATTTGGTTGAGAAAAAGCATGAACTTTCCCTTAGACCATTTAAAAGACCAACTTAGTTTGAATAGCTTTTTGAAACCTCAATTTAATTTGACTAAACTCCGTCTCTAACTCGGGTAAAGAATTGATTAGACGGAGTTAATCGCCGTCTCTAATCTCCGAATTTTTTTTAAAATATCGCATCAAATATTTCATAATATATCTTTTGTAATGATCGCATATGCTCTTACGCGGATACGAAATAAGATATACTTTTTTCTATAAATTATTTTTGCTAACTTTCCTTATTTTCACCGGAAATCGACAGTAGGAACTGTGGCGTCCACATTTTGGCGCTAGAAGGAGGAGGGGGGTACGGGATTACTCTAAACTCATTGCCACAAAATGCTTGATCAAAACGATATCTGGAAATATAAAATACAAACTCACAGCACTGACTGCTCCTATGGCCAACGCTTATGCAAACCCCGCAGTGCTCAACAAAATTGAAAACTTAACCGCGACTTTCCCTCACAAGAAGAGCACTGAAAGGAGCTCGCGATTTCTCCCTCTAAACAAAAAGGAGAATGATAAAATCTATCCAACCCCGTAAAGTTCTTCATATTACCAAGTTGGAGAAATCTCAGCGTGTTAAGGTTTGACCAAAAGACGCTTTCAAAAAATAAAACTTGCTCTCCTCGAGATCCCTGAGAAACCTTAGGTTACTCGCGGAAAAGAAACACAGAAATTGAGTATGCAACTCACCGATGTACTTCTTCTGAATAACTTTCACAAAAGTCTTTGGAGAAATTAAACTCGCATTAACCTCCCGAAGTCACGGAGAAACCCAAGGTTACTCGCAGAAGAAAAATAATCACATAAAATCGGATACGCAATCCCCACAGCTGTACTTCTTCCGAATAACTTTCGGAGAAACAAAGTTGATTTTTGTAAAATCACTTGAAACCTAAAAACAGTTGACGAATATTAAACGAAGAAATATGGGAGATCATATCCCTCACTGCTAAAATGTTTTCCTAAACCTAAGGTTTTGTAAAAATACATAAGATTCGCTTCCGTAGTAACATATTCAGCGAATTCTCGATAACTATCACTTAAGCTTACTTCGTAAAAACTACTCAAAACTTCCTGATAACAATTCTGCAAAAACGAGAGAATTTCTGATTAACTTTAGGTACGATAATTAAAGTTCATCACCGCTAGAGTTTCTGATACTAAAACCCAGGAACTATAATTGCGGAACAGCCGCAAAACATGAGTTTTCTGAGAACGGCTCTCTTACGACCAAACTCGATAACATTATACGGAAGAACTTCCATAAAAATTATACTCAAAAACATTTCACAAGATAACTTTTGTTAATTTAAACTTGACGACATTTTGTGAAGCAACTTTTGAAAATAAAACTAGATTACATTTTACAAGACATCTTTCGTAAAATTAACTCGAGAACATTTTGTGGAAGAAATTTCATATAATAAAGCTTTACAACGTTTTCCGAAATAACTTTCATGAAATTAAGACTCGACAATACTTTACAGAACATCATTCGTAAAGACAAACAAGATCATATGAAACAATCAACGAAAAAAACAGAGGCAATAAGTGCTGGGACAGGACCAGTTCGCTCACAGCTCGACGAACTGAGAACCTCACCCGAATGACATCGCATCTATTGCTCATTTTCCTAATCGCCCACCTCTGCCTTCTTCGAGTCATCACCTACTTCTCCTCACTTTGTTTTAACGATTTCGTAAAGTTCCTTCGGTACATAAATTGCAATCTAGTTTTACAAAATTCTGCCACGTTGAGTCGAAAACATCTAATCGTAAACGTCTGATAGTCTTTTCAAGAACATACAAAGCACGCCTGGTCATTTTAGTAAAACCAGCAGTATGAAGAAAAAAGAACAGAAACTTGGATGTTGAAATTCCTTCCTCATTCCGATATTCTCGTCAGTATTTCGTCAAAAACTAATTCATACGAAAATGAGTCAGAAGACATGAGGAGAAGAAGAATGAAGAAGAGGCAATCCCTAATCATCGATCAGACTAAGGTACGTTCAATTTAGAAAATTTTACGAGCCATTTAATTTATCGTAGGAAAGAAATGAAGACGTCTTGGAAACAGTCCTAAACCTTATGGAACTTAGAATCTAAGTGGTCTTAAAACCAACTTGTTCCTACCAATTTTCTTAAAACCAACATATTCGAAGTCATCATCAATCCAATGTCGTCTTAAAAATCGATCCAGGTTGTCAATCATCCTAATCCTCAAAAAAATGTACACAACCCTTCGAAAGAACAATTCATCTGTTTTCTTTCGTAAAAAAGGAGGGAGTAGGTGTGTATACTATACTAATATACTCCCATACTTCAAAACATTTATGCCTCAGCATCAAGAAAACGCTTTTGACAAAGCAAACTCTCTCAGCAACAGATAGAAAAACACTTAGGCAATGCAATGCCTCATTAAAATAGTCCAAAAAAGGAAAACGACAATTTAAGATTCATCTAAACACTAGCAACGCATCCAAACCATCACAGATATATTCTTGTTGCAATCATGCGTTTAAAAAATCTGCGGAACATCGTTACTTTGATCCCAATACGTCAGGCCAATTTACTGAATTCATAGAACACGTTGCTCGTTACTTATGCAAGAAATCCATCGTATAATCAGATCAAGTCATACGAATCTATGACTAAAAGTCCCTAGAAAAAAAGCATAAGAGAAAACTATAGACTTTCTACGGAGATACAAAAAAACTCGTATCAAAGTATGAAGAAATTAAAAAAAGAAATCAAACGGATCCCAAGCATCGAAACAACGAAACGAGCATAAGGCTCGATCAACCTGGATCGTCATCAGGGAGAGCTGGAAACACGACCAACTTGCACAGTGGCGAGTTAGACCGAACAAGCAGTCCAACTCGCCCGCTCGGCGAGTTGGATAGACTAATCCGTCTTCATCCCACCCTCGTAGCATCCTCCTTCGAGATTGGATCGGACTTGATCTTGTTTCATCTCGATCGGGGTTACCGTTGGAAGTTTACAAACCGCAAAAACTTATTTTCTCTTATGAAGTTCAAATTGATCGTATAAAACGGCAACTGTTAACTAAACACCTTAAGCTGTCTCCATTATACGAGAAACTCAAACTTTCTTCGGAATCGACATTATTTCAGAAGCACGCTTTTAATCTTAAAAAATTTTAAGTCGAAAAACAGCCCGAGAATGTCTAAAACGCGACTAAAAGTCCACTTGTGGTTTTACACGAAATCAAGCCCAATCGTTATGACGGTCTATCTTTTATTTTGGTGGAGAAGATAAATATTAAGTTCAGAAGATAAATGTGAAGTTTCCAGACATAACCACAAAGATCGAAGAAAAAAAGAAATATTTTCGCGAAGAGATAAACTCGAATCAAGGGCAGAAAACGAAAGATGGCCGACCTTGAATGCATATAATGGAAGCCAAGGCAAGGAGCACAAGGACAAAATTTTTTAAAACAATAAAACTCTCTGCACTTAGAAGCCTTAGGATTTATTCTTGACTAGTTTGATTTCTATGACTACACTCAATTACTAGACGAACTCACCCAGAAATTTTGTATCTTGTCCAGCTCTTTTAACTGAACTACGTTCGGCTTGATCTTCGAAAAGGGTACGTAGGCAGCATTTCATAAGGTTCATCCGAAATCAATCAAAACCCTTTTTCATCTTTTTCCTCTTTTGTTATCAAGCTGTGAATCAACTAGGTTTAAGGTTTTAGGTTGCAAGAACTAGGTAATTTTCTGACAACTCTTGCGGCCGAATCTTTTTATAATATTTTGTAATGATCGTAACGCTCTTATGCGGATTCGAAATAAGATATACTTTTCTATAAATTTGTTTTATAAGCATTTAATATTTTCTGCATCAATTTGGTTATTTGTCATTGGCTCTTGCTGAGAATCCGAAACCTCTGGAAAATTAGAGTTTTCTTAACTTTCCTTATTTTCATCGGAAATCAATAGTGTGAATTTCGGTTCCCACAACAACTCAGGTGCTCTTGCCAAGAGCCTCTTGGTAACCACTCAAGATGGTTATAATTGTAAAAGTAATTATAGCTTTTTAGGTTTGGTTATAAAAATATAGTTGTAATTTCACTACACTTTTGGGTTACTTTTCATTTGCTTGAATTTGAGATACATTTTTACTTATAAATTAAGTTTTAAGTCATTTTGGCAGTCCCCAAATTAGAAAATAATATTTCTATCATATTATTTAACTTGTTTATGGTATTTGAACAAAAAAGAATAAACGAATTAAAGCCTAGTAGTACATAAATGATAAATGTGCAAAATATGACTATTATTTAACAAATTATCCAAGAAGATAATCTTTTAATTTCACTTTTAAGAATGTCATACAAATAAAATATTCAAAAACTAAAGAAAAAATATTCAAAAACTTCAATGCAAATTGAGCTTTCTGAAAATAGACTTCACCATAAACGAATGTAAGGCATGCTCGAGAAGATGACTGGCCACTAGAAATCTGTAACATTAGCAACGGTTCTACAACATGCTTTCTTGAGACTACCAAATCCAAAATAAGAATGAAAATAAAAAAGTTCGCTTAGATGTTGGCGGAAGCCTTTTGTAGTGTCCCTAAGAATGCGTCCAGAGATGTACCCATGAGGATATGTCGGTTGACCATTATATCATATAACAAAGTCATTGCAAAAACAAGAACCATAATAAATAAAAAAGCATTTCTCATCATCGTAGATCCCGTTTTACTAAGCTAAGTAGAAAAAAAATAGCTGATAGTGATAGATCCACTCATACTTTGTTTTACCGAAACCAGTAGTTTTTTTATTTGTAGATGAGTACAGTTGTCGTAGATGATATTTTATTGTCACTTTTAAGAATACAATACAAATAAAATACTCAAAAACTTCAATCTAAAATGGACTATGTGCAAACATACTTTACTATAAAACGAATGTAAGGCATGCTCGGGAAGATGACTGGCCAACAGACATCTGTAACATTAGCAACAGATCCACAACAAGTTTTCTTGAGCCCACCGAATCGGAAATGAAAATGAAGAAGTCCGCTTAGACGATCGCGGCAATCTTTTGAAGTGCCCTTAAATGCGTCCATACACGCCTGAGGATCTGTTGGTTGAGCATTAGGATACGACAAAGTCATCGCAAAAACAAGAACCATAATCAAAAAAGCATTTCTCATCATCTTAGATTCCTTTTTATTAAGTAAAAAAGAAATCAAAAAGAATTAGTTGATAGTGCTTGTGTGTTGATGATGATAGGCCAATTTATACTTGGTCTTTTACAATCTTTTTAAATGGAATGTCTAGATATGGGTTTACCGAAACAGGTAGTCTTTGATTTGTTAATGAATACAATTCAACTGTTCATGTAAATAAATTTATATTATCAGGTTAAAGTTATATAATACATGTATATTCCTTTATTCATATCAATCTCAACAATATAATAATACGATTTTCACACATTTTACTGTTACGATATCAGAATACAATTCCATGTAGTGTACTAAATGGTACTTGAATTCTAGATAATTTTCTTTATAAGAGATAGTGTTGCAAACATGGTTGCTTAATTTTGGTATAGTAATGGAGTTGGAAATCCAAACTAAATTAAGTGTTATTGATTATCGAATCTTAGAATCCATGTTAAAATCATTTATTATTTTTTCTATAACTTATAAATCTTAATTCAACAATGTGTTATTCAATCATATAGATTTATTAATGCATTGATTTTTTTTTTTCTATTGAAACCCAGGAGGCTCATAACTGAATCTCGTATCTCCTACACCCGAAATCAAAATACAATATGTAATATTAGTTTTATCTCAACGACCATTCTAATTAAAGACTTTGAAAACAATGACAAGAATCATTCTAGTTGAGATAATGGCATCAGGTATTAATGGGTTGATCGCACAATGGATTTGATATGGATTTAAAATCACAAATACAAAAATAAGAACAATACCTACTGATTTATAAACATTAATTAAGTGGTGCTTGTTTACTTGTTAGACCACTTAAAATCAATTTCAAGGTTTCTTGGACCACTTTGACTTTCTGGTAAAAAACTGTATTCACATGCAACTGCTCCCAGCATTACCATCCAATCGATTTGGATTGTTACTTTCCTGAATGAACTCTTCAGAAGAGCCACTAGTTCAGATACACCACAAAACTGAATCAGTTGAATATGAGTTAAGATTGATGGGTTATTACCTTTTCCATTTTGCTCTTGTTCTTGCATGAAATGTGGGGTTTTTGACCTTTGGGAGGGCTCTCAAATGACCATGAGAAACTCTCGTCCCACTCTGGATTTGGACCGGTCAATATGAGATCATGTGTTTTCTTCAAGATTATGTTCACGATGGTTTGGATGTGTTGCTAGCGTTTAGACGAATTTTTGAATTTCGATGAGGCATCGCATTGTCTAAATGTTTTTCTGCCTACGGCAGCGAGAGTTTGCTTTTTCAAAAGCGTTTTCTTGATGGCAAGGCATAAAGTTTTTGAAGTATGGGAGTATACGAGTATAGGATACACACCTACTCCCTCATTTCTTTAACGAAAGAAAATAGATAAACTGTTCTTTCCCAGAGTTGTATACGTTTTTTCTTTTGAGGATTGGGATGATCAAAAACTTTGGTCGATTTTAAAGACGAAGCTGGATTGATGATGACATGGAATATCTCGGTTTTAACAAAAATGAGTCGGTTTTAAGACGACGTTCGTGTGTCTAATTCTTTCTTTCTTTAGGAAGTGAACCTTATGAAAGGCTGCCTAAGTTAGGATTTATTCTCGACAATTTCAGTTTCTACAACTACAGTCAATTACTAGATGAACTCACCCAGGAAGTTTGATCTCTTGTCCAGCTCTTTTAATTGAACCACATTCGGCTTGATCCTCAAAAGGGGTACGTAGGCGGCCTTTCATAAGGTTCAGTCTGAAATCAATCAAAAGATTTTTTCAAACTTTTTGTATTTTGTTATCGACCTGCGACTTAACTACGTTTAGGATTTTAGGTTGCTAGAACTAGGTAATTTGCTGACAACTCTTGCGACCAAAGATTTTATAATATTTTGTAATGATCGCAACGCTCTTACGAGGATTCAAAATAAGATATACTTTTTTCTATTAAAAAAAATTGTTATCTTTTCAAAAAATTTGCATCAATTTGGTTACTTGTAATTGGATCTCGCAGAGAATCCGAGACCTCTGAAAAACTAGTGTTTTCCTAACTTTCCTTATTTTCATTGGAAATTGACAGTGCGAATTTTGGTTCCCACAACAATCCATGCGCTCTTGGTAACCACACAAGATGGTTATAATTTTAAAAGTAGTTATAGCTTTTTGGTTTGGTTATAAGAAGATAGTTACAATTTCCCTACACTTTTTGGTTACTTTTCAATTGATTGAATTTGAGATACGTTTTTACATATTAATTTAAGTTTTAAGTCATTTTGGCAGTCTCCTAGTTAGAAAATTTTATTTCTATCATATTATTTAACTTATTTTCACTATTTGAACAAAAAAAATACATGAATTAAAGCCTAGTAATACATAAATGATAAATGTAGATAATCTTTTAATTTCACTTTTAAAAGATAAATGTGCGAAATATGACTATTATTTAACAAATTATCCAAGTAGATAATCTTTTAATTTCACTTTTAAGAATGTCATACAAATAAAATATTCAAAAACTAAAGAAAAAAATATTCAAACACTACAAGAAAACTCGTCTTTTACTAGGACGAGGTTTCCTCGTTATTTCCTAGTAAATGACCATTTACTAGGAACTTACGAGGAAACACGTTTCATCGAAACACGTTCATCGTAAAGCATTATCTCCTCGTAAGTTCCTAGCTAATTTACGAGGAAACATTTCCTCGTAAACGCGTGGACAAGTTTTCCTCGTAAGGTCCTCGTAGTATTTCCTCGTAAGCTCGTAGAAAAATCTTTACGAGGAACTTACTAGAAACATTTACGAGGACTTTACTTCTAAAGCTTTACGAGAATTTTGCTTCGAAATAATTTTTTCCTATTTAAAAAAAATTATTTATAAATAAAAAATTATATATATTAAAAAAATAAAAAAAAAAGCAAATTATAAATAAAAAATAAATAACAAAATATTTATAATTAACTAAATAATATAAAATCAATAAGTTTTAAAATTCATAATATACAATTAAAAATTAAAAAAAAAAACTAAAAGGGATGCTACTCGTGAAATTGCTGCACGAAGTCGTCCTCTCCAATGTTGGATGCCGGCTGTGAATGTGATGGTTGAGGCTGTTGGGGTGGAAGGGCTCCTCTTTCCCGTCTCTGACGCAACATCTCCGCCACTTGCGGGTTTCCAACCGCCATAATGTCGACGATCTCGGTGAGCCTAGGGACGACCTGTAAATAAAAATATTAATAACGTACGGAAAAATTTAAATAAATAATAAAATTTAATATTAAAACAAATTATTTACCTCCTCGTAAATCTTATCCACTTCAAGAGTGGATAATACGACTGGAGCCCCAGTCTGCTAAGTCAGCTGGGTCTGGCGTTCGTCAACTCGGGCAACAACCTCGTTGTAGATTCGCTCGGAAGCAGGATCTACAAACTGCCCACCCTTTTTCTGGTGGGTCCGCTCGTAAAGGTCTTTCAGAGATGGAAGAACTCCTTTCTCTTTAGCCTCATTTTTTTAAAAAAAATTAAATCTTAATTTGGAATATTCAAATAAAGTAAAAATTAAATAGTTATTAAAAATCATCTTACCATGTCTAGACGAACTCCCCCGTGGGGTTTTCGGCCCGTGGTGTGAAGCATCTTCGTGTTGCCATACTCGTCTGTGGTCATGCGGTTCTCGGAGTTTGTCTGGGAGGTTCTGACCGAGTCCGGCAACCCCCAATAGCTGATGAGGCCATCCGACACCGTGGTTGTGAGGCAATCGGGTTTCCCGCACTCGTAACCGTCCACCTGATTTAAAATAATTAGAATTAAAGTCAATAATATTTTTAAAACTATACATATATTATAATTTATAAATCTATACCTGAAAGTCGCCCTTCCAGTTGTAGATCATGTCGAGCAATCGTGCTTTTTCCTTGGCCTCGAACTCTGACTTCACCCGCTGGTGAATCCCAATAGACCAACGATATTTTTGCTGTAACCAGAAAAAATAAGAGACGGATTAGTTCAATAATATTAATAATTTTAAATGATTAAAAATAAATTAAGTTGATTTACTAAACTTACAGCAAACGATTTGAACCACGTCTTTTTTGTGTGGCTCGCCGTCATCTTCCAGTTTGGAGCTGCATCGGGAAAGTATCCCTTGATACAGTCCGTGACGCTAGATCCGACACAATTGTCAAGACCAAACCTGGAAAGACAGAAAATAAATCATTAATTAGATTAATTAATTTGTAAATAATTTGTTAATTAAGAAATAAATTAAAAAAAACTTTTAAAAAATTAAAACATACCATAATACGTTTTGGTTGTCCCGTCGGATAGGATCTAACTCTGGCAGTCCTTCTCTGCCTGGAAGGGCCAAAATATCCTCCATCGTGTACACCGCAAATGGTGCGTTCGGCGGCACCTGCAAATCAGGATGAATCCCGACCGGTGGAGGAGGAGGAGGAGGAGGTGGTGGTGGCTGCTGAGACCGGGACGCCGTAGAAACTCCCTGAGTCTCGAGAACTCCCGAAGATGAACCACCGGGAGCTGATGAAGATGAACCGGGCCCGAATAGATCTCCATAGTGAATCCCCTGATCAAGAGGCCTCCTAGCCTGAGCAGCAGCAACTTTGCTCTTTCTAACCATCTAAATTTTGTTTTTTTTTAAAACAAATAACATTAATTCTCGTATAATTTTAAAAAACAGTTAAACCAACCTAATCTAAATTCCCTAAACTAACCACCTAATCTAAATTCCCTAAACTAACCACCTAATCTAAATTCCCTAATCTAACCACCTAATCTAAAATTCCCTAATCTAATCACCTAACTAGGAAATAGTGAGTACCTTAAGAGAATTTAGAGAGGAGGTTACTATGAATGAGAAATCGGATTGCTCGTGTATATATAAGGAATTTTGTTTCCTCGTAAGGCCCAAGTAACGTTACTAGGACTTTACGAGGAAACAGCTATGCCCGTGTTTTTATTTCCCCGTAAGGTCCTAGTAAAAGCATTACTAGGACTTTACGAGGAAACATCTTTACGAGGAAATAGCTATGCCCGCGTTTTTTTCCTCGTAAAGTCCTAGTAATGCTTTTATTAGGACCTTACGAGGAAACAGCTATGCTCGCATTTTCTCTTACTAG